TTAAAAAAAAAAGTTACCTTTTACAAGATTTTCATCAATATTACATTGAGTTCTGCTAATGAATACTCTTTGTTTCTTCATAGCTTATGTGGAATTATTCCAGGACTTAGCAGTATCTTCCTTCCCCGAATGAATCCATTTGTTTTGATTGATCTTGCTGGAGCATTTGCTCTTTGTATTACATATATGCTAATTGAAATTAAGTAAGTATTTTTTATTGCTGTCAAGTGGTTTCCATTTTTGGGGGCCTGACTTTTAAAGGCATCTGTGGGATGGATAAGGATTAAGCTTAGAGCATGTTTGCTTATGGCCTGTGCAACTTTGGTCAAGTCTTATCCTTAAGTGTCTTCATCAGAAAAATTAAGGAGGTTGGATTCAATACATATTTTTTGTCATAGTCTATAATTCAGACTGGAAAACTGTTCAAATTCCCTACTGCTGACCTGGGGAGTGAAACAGAGATGTCAGTAAAAGAGAGATAAGCCATGGCTGCTGTTGCTGAGAGAAGGCAGAGGAAGTAGGTGTGAAATAATTTTTTTAAAGGCAAACCTTTTAGGAAATATACTTTATAGCTGCTTTAAGCTTAGCGTTTTATGACATACGATTCTTTCACTACCTACCCTTTAAACATTAGTGTTTACTAAGATCTGTCCTTAATTATTCTTTTTCCTCTTTTGCGTACTCCCCTGGGAGCTTACATTCAATTACTTGTTTTTATTTACCCCCTCTGGATTTCCCACGCCTTTATTTCTAGTCCAGATGTCTGTTGAATTCCAACAGGTGTATCTTCCTGACTTCTGTTCACGTCTCCAGCCGCTGAACCTATTTCTGCATCCCCAAAGCTGTTTGTTCTTGTATTTCCCATCTCAGGGGGTACTACTACCATCTCTTCTGTTGCACTGTTGTTTTGAATTGTGTTCAAACATACATAACATAAAACTAAAATTTTAACCAATTTTAAGCACACGTTCAGTGACGTTAAGTAACTTCACATCATTGTGTAACTATCACCATTGTCCACCTCCAGAACTTTTTTTATCTTCCCTACCTGAAACTCAGTACCCATTAAATAGTATCTCCCCCTCTTCCTTGCCCCAGCCTCTGGCAACCACTCTTCCTACTTTCTGTCCCTATGAATTTGACGAAGAAATTCCTATAAATGAAATCAGACAATATTTGTCCTTTTGTGCCTGGTTTATTTCACTAAGCATAATGTTTTCAAGATTCGTCCATGTTGTAATACATGTCAGAATTTTCTTCCTTTTTAAGGTTGAATAATATTCCATTGTACATATACAACACATTTTGCTGACTTATCCATTGATGGGTATTTGGATTTCCATCTTCTGGCCATTGTGAATAGTGCTGCTGTGAACATGAGTGTACAAGTATCTGTGTGAGTCCCTGCTTTCAGTTCTTGTGGGCATATACCCAGAAGTAGAATTGCTGGATTATATGATAATTCAGTGTTTAATTTTTTTTAGGAGCTCCAGTGCATTCTTAAATAAACTACTTCTCCCTCCTCCCCTCTTGCCCCTCCCAAAGCCAGTTCTAATTGGTCACCTAGTGTTGTGTTTGTTTTTTTTTAAGTTTTTATAGTCACCATGCTGTACATTGCATCCTCAGAACTTATGTATCTCATAACTGCAAGTTTATATCTTTTGACCAACTTCACCCATTTCTCCCCCCTCCTCACCCCCTGCATCTGACAGCCACCAAACTGTTCTGTTTCTTATGAGTTTTGATTTTTAGATGGCACATATAAGGGAGCTCGTAAGAGTATTCATCTTTCTCCATCATGTTATTGTAAATGGCATGCTTTCCTTCCTGTTTTGGCTGAATAATATTCCAGTGTGTGTATGTCTGTGGGTGTGTGTATCTCACACTTTTTATCCCTTCATCTGTCAGTGGATACTTTGGTTGTTTCCATGTCTTGGCTATTGTAAGTAACAGTCTTGTCAGCTAGTCTGATTGCATCTTTCTTTTTAATTTGTCTCCTCCTTCCCATTCCCCTTGCTGCTGCCGATATTGAGGCCTTATCATTTCCTTGGTCTAATTAGAATAGTCTTCTGGTCTTCTATCATTCTCACACATCTCTAGTTACCTTCCATTTTGCTACTAGCCTCATCATTCAAAATTGCAAGTCTGACCATAATATTTTCCTGTTTCAAAATCTTCCTCTTTGCCTATTTAAGAAAATAAAAGTTGTTAGCATGATAAAGCCCCTGCCACTCTTACTGACCATCCAGCCACGTGTACTTACCTGCTCATGGTTTCAGTGCTGTATCAGGACTTTCATGCCCTTGCGCATGCTGCTTTCCCTAACTGTGATATCTTCCTCCCATTGGCTCACTCATCTTGGAAGAGTCAGCTCAGATGTCACCTTTTTATATTGAGCCCTTCTGGATTATCCCTTCCTCAGGAGGCTTGTCTCTCACTCCTCTATGCATCCATGATACCCTGTAGGAATTCTCCTTTGTTCCCAAATTGATTTATTTTCTTTACATGGGTATCTCCTGCTATTTCAAAGGTAGGGACCATGTCTTACCTCATGTTTCTGTTCTCAGTGTGTGGGGAAAAAGTATAAAAAAAGAGGCATAAACAGCTTGTAAACATGGGCATTTTGGACTGTCTTCTTAATAGAACAGCCTGAACTGCTGATGAGTGTTGCACTTTAGTGGCCAGTGTTCCTCTAATGAACTCCTGTGGAATCTCACATTGTGTAATTCCTAGGGAATTTCAAAAATTCTTAGTAGTAATAATTGGAAAGGTGTTTACAGGAAAATTGCCAGAATCACTGATGAAGTACATTGGTCTTCTCTGTATCAGAAATTACTAGTTGAAGGTTTTTATTTGTTGCAACAAGTGAATATATGTGAAATCTTTCTACCTGGCAAGTAGATTGAGAGTACATAGTGGGAAAATATTCACATTTTTTTCTTCAACATCTTAACATAATTATTTAACATACTGCTTAAAAAAATTATCATTTTCCACTAAACTTTGGCAAGAAAGGATTCTGAAAATGTTTTGTTGTTGTTTTTTGTTTGTTTGGTTGGTTTTTTTTCTTTTTTTTTTTTGGAGACACTCCCGTTACCAGTAGTGGCCAGTATTGATAGAACAGTCCTGTTGTTTTAGATAATTAATTTTTTGGAAGATTGAATTGCAAGTAGCCCAGTGAGGCATACATTTAAGATTTAGAATTGTTTTTTCCTTTTAGTAATTTTTTTGCTGTAGACACTGCTTCTGCCATAGCCATTGCTCTGATGACGTTTGGCACTATGTATCCCATGAGCGTGTACAGTGGCAAAGTATTACTGCAGGTAAGGGTCTTCTTCCAATACACATGCTTAATATTAGCCATGGTTTTCTACCAGATTATAAAATTATATGTACTCTTCTACCAGATTGTGAAATTTTTAGCAACTGGAAGTTCCCATCAGAAATGAAGTTAAACAGTAGTCTCTGAAGTCTGTATATAGTAAGAAGCAGATGAAATTCTGTTGGCCCATGAAATAGGCACAGATCTTCTCATATTTATAATATAAGACAAAATCATAAGCTAAAAATATCTTGCTTTTAATGTTTCAAGTGAAAACAGTGTTAATTAGTTTAACAGTGTTACTTAGAAATTTTTTTGCATATTGATTTTCCCCCAATAAATGTGCTTTGTCTATTTTGTAATCTGGTTGTGAATTGTTTTCTTATTTCCTGTCCTTGAATTAGTGAGACTTTTAAATTTCAAACTTAAAATTAAAAATGACAAATTACTATGTATTTCAACAGTAGGATAACACCTGTAGATAAGCACCTGAATACAAACGTAGCTTCCCAGGGATGAATGTGTTTGTAAACACTGCTTTTCCTTCTGTCTTACCCTCATGCCTTTTCTAAAACTTAGGGGTACTAGCTGCAGCTCCAGAAGCAGTAATAACAGTAAGATAATAATTGCATAGTGCTATGCCATATACAGAAGATTTTTAGTTGGTGGTTCGATTCTTCAAGGGTTCTTTGGGTCTAGAGATAATGCTGCTTTGTGAGATGAAAAGTAATATGGGCTGATCCTTGATATTGCCCCACTAGCGGAGCCAACTGAAACCTCTCTTCCCTAAATCGTGATAGGGCACATGTTCTACAAAGCCAAGTCTGGTATAAGCCAACCTGTTAGTGTTAGGACCACTACGCAAAAAAAAATTTTTTATCTCCCTGGGTTATTCATATTTTATTTTATTTTTTCTCCAGACAACACCACCCCATGTTATTGGTCAGTTGGACAAACTTATCAGAGAGGTAAGGAGGAATAGTAAATAAAATAATTTTAATTTATAATTAGAGGATGGAAAGAGTGGGTGCAAGTAATATTTTATTCAGCCCTACCTAGATTTTATTTTAGGAGAGTTTGTGTTGTTTATAATAACACAGTAGGAGATACAACACAGTGACAGAAGTACAAAAATTTGAGGAATTGCTCAGTCTGGAAGCTTGAAGTAAGTGTGGAAGGCAAGGTCATGGTCTAGAGACCATACTACTAGCTATGTAAATGCTACGGTTTTTATGAGTCTGTATTCAAACCCAGGATTTTGATTAAGTCAGAGGCCACTTACATATTGATTGATTGCTTCACCATGTAACATACTGATCTGTGAGTTTAGATTTTGTTTTTTATAAATATCCACCTCTTTACTAATGAAGGAATAGATAATCAAATTACTTGGATTGAGAGTATTTCAAACTATTGGCTGTTGGTATCACAAAGGACACTTTTACCAACAGAGCTGGCTGCTTTCTCCGCTAGTGAGCCTCTGTCGTTGTACCAGTGGGCCATACACGATATATCTGGTCTTGGAATTTCCTTTTGGCCCACATTCAAATAACAGCCTGTGTTGTGCAGAAACTTGGTAAAAGGGAATACAGAGAAAGCAATGACAGAGGAGACCCCTCAAAAGGGAGAAAAATCTTAATACCACAAGTGCTGGATATAAATATATGACATATTGACAAAATGAAAAGGACCATACACTGCTGAACAAGGTGGTGCTGGGGGTAGGTGGTAAAGACCTGATTTTGAAGGGATTGGGCCAGACAAGAAACCGAATACAAGGTCTTGGCTCACTACCGAACAAGTAGAAATGATGTCTTGAGTGGTCTGGGACTTCTCTTGGCTAATGAGTGTCCTAATGCAGGGTTTGGCCATGTCATTTCTAAGCTTAGATCAAGTCCATAATGTGACTGTGTTGGATATGTCAAATACAAACCCTATTTCTTTGTTTTTGATTAGGTATCTACCCTGGATGGAGTTTTAGAAGTTCGAAATGAGCATTTTTGGACCCTAGGTTTTGGCTCACTGGTATGTTTTCCATATTAATTTAGATAATTTACAACATAGTTTATAGTTTTTAAAACTAAAAAAAAGCATTTCTTTAAATTTTTTATAGAGTCTTTGATTACCATTTCTGTTCAGTAGAGTCTAAAATGTAGATGGATTCGGTAACTTAATTGAGATTAATTGAAGGATATTTTTCTTTTTTTTTTTCCTTTCAAACTGCTGTTAATGATCTTAATACTGGGTTGTCCAGATAAGACAAATTTATAGTCACACATTTCTGAATATGAAAATATCCAAAAAGTAAATAGTACAATTTTTTTTTAATTGCAGTTCTGCTTTTGGAGATTTTGCTGAATATGTTCAAGAGTTACAATAACACAACTTGCTCCAGCATAAAATTCCATATTTTTTATATTAACCTTAAAAATAAAACCAGTTATTTTACTAGCAAAAATGGGTTTATTTGGGAATAGCAGAGAATTGCAATTTGGGACAAGCAAGCTACAGCAAAACCATAGGCAAGTCTGGAGAACAAAAGAGGGGAATGCTTTTTTATAAAGGAAAGGGGGAAGTGGAAAGGACTGTTACAACTGAAAAATCCAGTGGAGGAAACGGGGAGTTCGAGTGTAGTGGCTCTCATTGCTGAGCTGTGACAGTCTCTAATTGGCTGGGCTGTTGTGGGGGAAGAAGGAAAGTCTCCTTTCTCCTGCTGATGTGATAAAAGAAGTAGCTAAAGTAGTATGGACTCGACCTCTCTTCCTGTTGAGTGTGCAGTTGACTAGGGGCAGTAGGGCCTCAAAGGCCCTCCCTTGGCCTCCCGACTCCCATTTTAGTAAGGTTTCCTTTTATTAATTTTCACAAATCCACTTTGGACCTATTACCAGAGAGACTGTTATGGCATGGTTTCATTCCTGTGTCAGGAATGATGAGGAAAACACAGAAAAGTACTCAGAAAAAAACTTTTTTTAATCACCATAATCCTTTCATGTAGAGAAACCTGCCATGACATTTTCTTATTTATACTCATATATTTACTCTCCTTAGAAAATGAGATCATGCTGTTTATAATTTGCTCTTTTCACATAGTATATCATGAATAGTTTTTCTATGTCACTAAATATTACTGTTCTGGTCAGTTTTTTTTTCTCTTAAATGTGACTTGAGTTTTGCCTAAATGCCCAAAGGTTTTTGTTTTGTTTTTTTTTTAGTCCGTAATTTCATTAGACTATGTCTTGGTGTTGGTCTTTCTGGGTTAGTTACTCCAGGTATGCAGTATATTCTTTCAATAATTTTATTTCAAAAAAAAAAAATTAACTTTCAGGGAAGTTTTCTTTAATTATTAATATTTATTTTGTTCTCTTTCTTTATTGTCTTCTCTGGGAACTCCTATTATAAGCATGTTGGATCTTTGCCTTTCTTTCATATTTGTTACTTTCTTTCAGTTTCTTACTCTTCATTTCCTTTGATTTTTAAAACTTTCCTTCTCTTCACCTTTTATTTCTCTTATAGTAGACCTGTATGTTTATTTGCTTTTGTATTCCTTCTAGTTTGGTCTTCATTTCTGAAGTGATTGTTTTTTCTTATATTTCTCACTGTCATCTCATTTCTGAGGTTTTCTTTATTTTTTTTTTTAAGTAGGTGCCACGCTCAGAGTGGAGCCCAATGCAGGGCTTGAACTCACGACCCTGAGATCAAGACCTGAACTGAAATCAAGAGTTGTATGCTTAACTGACTGAGCTACCCAGGCACACTCATTTCTGAGGTCTTCTAGTGCTGATTTATGTTATTCTCGTTTCATGTCTTTCAGCTTGTTTTGAAAAAGTAGGTTATAGTTCTTACTCATTTTGTAGGTAAATCTTTCTGGCGATCTTTTATAATCTGTTCTCTTTTTTTCTTATACTAACTTTGTGTGTGATTTGGATTCAGTTCTTTTCTGTTGCTCCTTTTTATGCAAAATTGTATTCCTGAACTTTATTTTTTTATTTAAATTCAATTAGCCAACATATACTACATCATTAGTTTAAGATGTAGTGTTCAGTGATTCCCCAGTTGCATATAACACCCAGTGCTCATCACCACACATGCCCTCCTCAATGTCCATCACCTAGTTACCCCATCCCCCCACCCACCTCCCCTTTCTGCAACCCTCAGTTTGTTTCCCAGAGTCAAGAGTCTCTCATGGTTTGTCTCCCTCTCTGATTTCTTCCTGTTCAGCTTTCCCTCCCTTCCCCTATGATCCTCTGAGCTATTTCTTATGTTCCACGTATGAGTGAAACCATATGATGATTGTCTTTCTCTGACTGACTTATTTCACTTAGCATAGTACCCTCCATTCCATCCATGTCAATGTAAATGGTAGGTATTCATCCTTTCTGATGGCTGAACTTTAAAATAAGGAGTGGTTTAGGGTAGTGTGTTTGAATTTATGGTTCTAAAGCTCCCTCTTCTGATGAGTCTGTGGAGTGAAAATACTTTCTTTCTCCTGGTTCTTTTCCTCCCATTTGTATTTGAACTTCTTTATCTTTTGTTTCTACTGTGTTGCTTAGTTTGGATTCTTTATCTTTTGTTTCTGCTGTGTTGCTCAATTTGGGTTCATAGACTCAGACACAATTGTTCTTAACGTGGTGCTTTATAATGGAAGGGAGCTTTGCTTGGTTACTTTGGGGGGCTCACAGGGCTTAGGCTGCTCCATCTCTTCTTATTGCAGACTCAGTGTACTCATCCACTATTGAAACGTGTAGAACCCCTCCCAGCTTCCCAGCTACCTTTCTCAAATTTGTTGTCCTGGATTTCCATTAAGTACAGGTTAGCTGCTTTGAGGTTTTTAGGTCAGTTGGATATCCTGTCTCTTCCTCCTCCACAGATGCTGATACCTTGCAGGTCTTACACCTTGTGATTAGGGTTCCTTAGGGAACCATGTTATCTAGTTTTTTTATAGATGTTGTCCATAGGTTTTTGGACTTAATATCTTAGTTTCTCTGTTTTTCTGGAGATATTTGGGGCATTTCAAAAAAGTGCCACTACCACTGCTATCTTTCAGGAATCCCAAAATAATTTTTAATGGCTGCAATTTTACATTATATGAATATGCCATCATTTATTTAATCAGTCCCCAATGGACAAAATGGTATTCCATTTTTCCCGTATAAAAATTGCTGGGATGGGGCGCTTGGGTTGCTCAGTCATTAAGGGTCTACCTTCAGCTCAGGTCATGGTCCCAGGGTCCTGGGATCGAGCCCCGTGTTGGGCTCCCAGCTCAGCGGGAAGCCTGCTTCTCCCTCTCCCACTCCCCCTGCTTGTGTTCCCTCTCTCGCTGTGTCTCTCTCTGTCAAATAAATAAAT